GGTGAGGCTTTATGGGAGTGGCATCTGACATTCCCAGGGGACACAGTCTTACAAAACATTTCCTAACCCTCTGGTTTTTACAATCTCTCTGGTTCCTCTTACACAGTGGTCCTTGGGTGCAGGAGTCATTTTGTAGATGTATCCTTTGGGCTGAGGTCTACAACTCTGCATTTTGGTTGATTGTGGGTTTTGGTAGTGATTTTTGTCTGTTTAACAAAACTTTTAAACAAGACTTAAAAGGAATGATGAAAATAGTCATTGGTTTTAGAATGCTGTAACAGAAATACCTGAGAATTTCAATGAACATTTGGAGAAAAGATGACAGCGTTGTGAGCTGTAGATTGACAGAGAGTCTATAGAACCTGCCAATTGCCAAGATCTTGATCAGGCAACTAAACAGTTTTCTAGATGTGGCAGAATGTGTTGTTCTGAGACTGAGTAAGCACATCTTTAACGTCGTTGGCAGTCAGGTCTTATTTTCAAGGATGGCTCTGTAAAGTTTCAGAATTCTGCTCTACGCAACCTCTGACCTCTGTAAGTCCTTTGCAGTAATTTGTTTTGAGGTCAACAAAAGCCACTGACTTCTGGGGTCTTTGCTGACATTCTTTATCATCCCACCTTTTTCTAAATCTTTACATTGAATTATAATTAATGAGATGGCGTTAACTTATCAGGTCCTACAAATGAAGTTGAAATTTATTGGTGAAAGAAGTTCCCTAAGAAAGGATAGTGTTCCTTTCTTCCCACAAACTCAGCATCAGGACCAGGATGGGATCAGCAAAACATGCACCTAGAGGCAGAATTTTAAAAACCCTAGCTTTCAAGTCCTGCCAGAGCAAGACTGTCAATCACAGGTCTCTGATATCAAAAACACCACTGTGTGTTTGCTCCTCACTTTCTGCTATTTTGTTTTGTCTGACCCAATAATGATAATTATAAAGCAAGAGAGACACAATCATTAAGAAATGGTTTTAGAGGACCAAATTGGGCCCTCTGAATGTGGGTTGCAGTTGAGTGTCTTGGCCTGTGTGTGGGACTTCTGACATTGAGGCCAGGATTATCCCTGCTGCATGAACTAATGTTTTGGAGCCCATTTCTTATGGTGGGATACACGGCTCAGCCTTGATGCAGAGGAGAAGGACTTGGTTCTGCTTCAACTAGACATGCCATGGGAGGCCTTACCCACTCTAAGAAGTAGATGGGGATGAAAGGAGAGAGGGATCAGGAAGAACAGAGGGACGGGGAATGGTGGTTGGTAAGTAAAATGAATAAAAGATTAAAAAAGAAGTGGTTTTAAAGCCAAAGATGGTGACACACACAGGTAAGCCTAGCACTTGGGAGGCTGGTAGAGGAAGATTGCAAGTTCCAGGTCAACCTGAGGTTTATTAGACATTTCACATCAACCTAGCATATGCAGTGAGATCTGGTTGTAAAAACAAAAACAAAGAAATGGTCTTGGAATCTCATATGCTTCTGAGAAAGATAGCTGTGTGTATAACAGCATTCTTTTGTATGCAACAGAAGGAATGCATGCTCCTATAGAAATAAGAAACTATACCAGATGTAAAACAGAAAAATCCCAGATGAGTAATCCAAGGGAATTATCTACAAAAGAATGGGAGAGAGAGAGAGGGAGAGATGAGAGAGAGAGAGAGAGAGAGAGAGAGAGAGAGAGAGAGAGAATTTTCCAGGTGTTTCTCAGTGATAAATTTTTTCCTTAGGGCAATCTTAGGAAGAAACAGGAGACATAAGGAGTTTTCTGCCATAAATTCAGATCCCTGGTCTGAATTCCAGCCTTATTGTGTTCTTATCCAGTAAGCATATTAACCATCCCAAGCTTCATTCACCCAATGAAATATGTTCATATTAATACACGATTCAGACAGCTCTTGAGGAAAACAAATGTGGTATAGGCAGGATCATTTTTTAATTTTAAATTTTAAATGAATTACATTACCTCTCCCTCTTCTCCTTCCTACATCTCTCATGTCTCCACCCTATCTCCCTCTCAAATTCTATTATTTATTGTTGTGATGCACACATATAGATGAATAAATACTCAAACACAACCTGCTGAGTATGTTCTGTGTTGCTTGAATGCTATACGTCTAGGAATGGCAACTCTGCGCTGAATAACTAATCAGGGGGTGAAAGCTCTTGGAAAAAACTAAAGCAGCCTCTTATATCTGGAAGCAACAGAAACCATCCTGAGGCTAGATAGAAAGGCAGAGGACATGAGAGGGAGGAAGGAAGGTCCTTGTTCTAGAATCTAGTTAAAGCCCTTGCCAGCAGCAAAGCAAGGCTTTCAGCATAACTAACAGCTGCTCAAAGCGGAATTCTCCTTTCTGGGCATAAACCCCGGTTTCCTAGACATCTCAGCAGAGACCCATTTACAGAAGAAAGATGTGTTGAGGCCCTTGCGCAGCTTTAGTGTTTCTGCTTTCACCGAGCATCCTTAGAAAGACCTTCCACAGCTCACATATCCAAAAGGTTTCTTTTTCAAAGCAACCTTTGGTGGTGTACCTTGAGAGTTATCAAAATGGTCCATGTGGCTAATGCTAAGGCAGTGGCTTACTCTTCTGGAGAAGCCAGCACCTACTCATGAGTGCATTCCCTCTCCATTTTCTTTTGGGAAACAAGAACTCTAACTTGGGTGTGTTTCACTTTCTTCTCAGTGCCTCTCTTTTTCAAACATATATTTAAAATATCCTTAAAAATATCCCTATCTATGACTCACTGTACTGAAAACTCTGCAGAATTTTGAAGCTACAAACTCCCAATTGGTCTGCGACCAAGTCTCTAATAGCATTGAGGAACATTTCGGTCTACTGAGAGCAGCAGTGTGGAGCTGAGCTCCTGTTGTCTGGCTGCTGGCAGTGCCGCATAGACTTTCTTAGGAAGCCTCAAACGTGGCAGAGTTGTAATGCCTTGCTTGTTTTTCTCAAATACAGCAGTGTAGTCTGAAGAATGAATTTACCTGTCTACATTATGCTGGTTTTTATGCAAAATAGGAGTGGAATGTTTTATTACATCTGAGCATTGGAGGCAGGGCCTAGACTTATCAACTGATGACTGTAAACTAAGTTGCTACTGTGGTTTTGGACAGGAAGTTGCACTGCTATTTAAAGAGACTTTCTACCATTATTCTACTCTCAAGGCTTACCTTGTGGACTAATCTCAAAATAACAGATTATTTACTGTTGAGTCCTTAACTTTTCTCAGGATAATAAAACTTCTGGGTTTTCAGCTGGCCTCTGCCAGAAGCTTCCTGTTGACTCTGATCGCAGGAGCTTATCACACTGTAACATCTGTCACTACAGACATCTGGCCCCAATTCTCCTGTTTGGGAGTGTGCCTGACGTTTTAACAGAAGAAATCACCTTGGTAAAGTTGGAGAATGAACCTCTGTCTTTATTGAAAGCTAGAAGTCTCAAAGATATATACAGATATCAGGCGACACGGACAAAAGCTTTCAGAGAGGCACCAGTGTGTTTATGTCTCCAAATGTTTTAAAGCACATTACACATCTTACTAGCCTTCTAGGGTACAGCCGTAAATAAATGACAAATTTTCTACTCTTGTGTAGACAGAAAGTATGCAGAAATATTGTTATTTCATCACACATGTATAGATAAATTGACTAGAATGGTGAAATGGTAAAAACCAGGAAATAAATGCTCTTCGAATGATAATAACGAATGAACTGCTTTGTGAGAGCCCCTAGCGTTAGAGGGTTAGCCAGACCGTGTCTGTTTTCTGGAGTTAAAAATCTCTCTACAATTCCAGAACAGCAAGGATTAGGAGACCTTTTGTTACTGACTTATACTACACATATCAAAGAAGACAAAGGCACAGAGATTCCACAGGTGGCCTCCAGTTGCATTTAGAGCAGTGACAATTTGCTTGTTGTTCTTAGGTTTTGATGGGTTGTCTCAAGGTCTGCTTCTCACCCTAGCTACAGATCTCCCGTTATTTTATATGGCCATTGAATATCATTATTGGGCTCTTTCATGTCTCAGTAGTCTCCCAAAAGTTTGACAGAAAATTATTTATAGTCTGGCATGTCTTCATCCTGCTGCCTATCACATTCTCTTTTTTGGGATGAAATGTGGGAATTCCTCAAAAGATTTAGAAACCATGAAAAGGCAAAAAGAGGGATATATGGAAGATATAAATGATGAAATCACATTCAAGATGGTGTCCATCACTTATATCAGTTTATAAAGGTCATAAAAATACTGTTATCAGGGCTGAAGAGGTGGCTCTGTGGTAAAGGGCATTGACTGCTCTTCCAGAGGTCCCAAGTTCAGTTCCCATTAGCGGCCTGGTGCCTGATGCCCTCTTCTGGTGTGCAAGCGTGCATGCAGACAGCACCATATATAAGGTAGGTAAATCTCAAAAATTGAAAAAAAAAACAAAAAATATATTTAAAATACTGTTATCATAATACTCCTAATAGTTGGATGAAGCAGAGCCCAGGATCATAATAACTATAAGGAGAATGGAGAAATGATTGTTTTCATGTGGAAGTGAGTCACCCTGAATTCATTCTGAGAGAGGAAAAATTCAAACTATTTTTTTGAGATATGATTTCATGCACTGTGGGCTGGTCTGAAACTTTCAATGCAGGTAAGGATAATTTCAGACTTTTGATCATCTGGCCTCTACCTCCTTAGTGCTGAGCCTGAGGTATGTGTCTCCACATGGAACAGTTTCACGTGCTTTTCAGAGTTGAAGCAAGGGCTTTATATATGCCTGGGAAGACTCCACAAACTGAGCTGTATCACAACCTGATATTTTGATGATGATACCATCCAGGTTGTTCATATACTGGAAAACATTTTAAAACAAAATAAGAGACATAGGTAGGATGTAACAGACTGAAAAACAGACACAGAAAGCCAGTCACTTAAACTTTTTTTCATTAACTTAATAAAAATTATATATTTATTAAAAATAATCTATTTACAGTGGTAGGACTTGTATTATTCTGTCCTGTCTAAAGAACAAGCTCTTGGAAATATGAAAGGAGAAACCCAACTTTTACACAAAATCCAATCACAGAGCCACACTGTGGAAATACAATGTAAAGCAAGAACAGTTTATTGGCGAATCAGATACAAATTGTGTGGCTTGGAAACTTCTGTAAAGATGTTATTGTTTTTCTTTTCTCTAAGGCATTGAGAAATCCCAGAAGTTCTAAAAAATTCTACCTTTTGTGTGTGAGAGAGTTGATGCAATCAGAAGACTAGTGTGACGGGGCCCAGAGATTGAGATGGGAGATGTGTCGTGGGATGGTTATGTGCTATCCTAGTATTTTATGTCTGTAGTCTTCTCAGGAGATTTTTTGTGGAAAATTTAAAGTAACCTTTTGAATCATAGATATTGGTTCTTTAAGAGGGAATAAATCTCAAGCACCTTTCCCTCAAGCCTACAAGTGATCAGAATAAATTCTAAAGAATATTTGGGGAAAGAAAAAACACATTTCTCTTCCAGTAATATCCACCGACTCCGTCTTTTCCTAGCTTTCCCATCCCAGACAAATGATCAGCCATGCTGTGCTCTGGAATTCTGTGTATCAGGACCTCTCATCTAGTGTTAACCATGCTGATCCCCAGATAACATTTTTATATCATTTTAATACCTATGTCTTCAGCAGTACCTAGGACCCACTTTACAAGATAATGTTATTTGGACTAAGATTATATTTCTGTCTTAAAATTATTATTATTGATATTATTATTATTTGGTAAATATAAGTGAAAATTGAAACTGAGCAGACTTTTTATGGGTACTCTATTTCTAAGTCAATAATCCTGAACTGAGGTCTTTGTTTGGCTCATTTTACTCAAGATAGTTTTCCATAACCATTAACCAGGTCCATGTGAGCATAATTACTGAACACTTTAGCCCTAGTTGTAGGAAGGCCAATGCATGGGGATCAAATTGAGAATTCTGGGTTTGAATCAAACAAGGATGACCTATACTTTAGTTTCAAAGGTCATAAATGTATGTGCATATCTTGTATCAAAAGCTCAACAAATGGTAAAAACCACTTTAGGAAAACAGTTAACATCAGAGTGATCACGTGACATAGCATTTAGTATTGTGAATGCATCATATCAAATCAGCAATAAATAACAATCAAATAGCAGAGGCCTTAGTAGATTTCTACTAAAATATTTCGTGTGGGTACTTATGCCTGCAGTGCTGTCACTATTTCCACACTCCAAGATCTGTTAGTCAGAGTCGTGTTCTAGAACAAGGCAGGGAAAATAAGCGAAGTAAACCACTCTGAATCTGTCTGGTCTTAATGCTATAGATGACAGGGTTCATAAAAGGGGGGAAAAGGAAGTAGATGTAGCTCATTGTGATGTGAACCACATGAGGCACATGCTTTCCAAACCTGTGAATAAAGGTCAGACCAACCACAGTGACATAGAAGACCAGGATGCAACATATATGGGAGACACATGTGTTGAGGGCCTTGGCCCGCTCATCTGTAGAGGCAATGCCCATGACAGTCTTGAGAATTAAAACGTAGGAGAAAAAGATGATCAGGAAATCTAGCAGGACCATTGCAAATACAACCACAACTGGATAGAGACGATTGAATGTGATGTCAGCACAGGCTAGCTTGATGACATCTTGGTGTAGACAGAAAGCATGAGAGAGTACATGGGATCGACAGTAGGGAAACCAATGCAGGCGAATGATTATTGGCATGATTGATAGGCTAGCCCTAATAAATACACCCACTGCAATCTGTATTACCCTAGTGTCAGTAAGGATGGTGGTGTATCTTAATGGGTTGCGAATGGCAATGAAACGATCATAGGCCATGGCGAGCAAGACCCCTGACTCCACAATAGAGAGAGTGTGGATAAAGTAGGCCTGAGAGAAGCAGGCTGCATGGCCAATCTCCCTGTGATTTAACCATAGTACACCCAGCACTGTGGGCATGGTGGTCAATGTTACTCCAAGATCTGTAGCAGCCAACATACCTAAGAAATAGTACATGGGCTCATGGAGGTTGTGGTCATCCTTAATGAGAAAAAGAAGGGTGCCATTGCCAAGCAGTATGGAGATATAGGCCATCAGCAGTGGGAGAGAGATCAGGTGATGGGTCTTCTCCAGACCTGGGAAGCCAGTGAGTAGGAAAGGGGAGGAGGAGGTGTTGAGCCACATGGTGGGCATTGTAGAGGAAAAGATCTCTGTCGGGTAAGGCATCCAAATCCAGTTCTTTAGGCCTTGCCCCTTGAGGATGCTATATGCTGTGTGGATATTGAAGGGTCCTTCTTTCCAACAGCAATAGTAATTCATTCATTCCTGGGAGCTTTCTAGGTATAGGAAAACAGGATATATCAAGAGCAGCCCTACTTTATTCAGAGCTCACCAGAGGTAAGATTTTTGAGTATGCATTAGAGATAAGCTACGTGTGAAGAACAGACTCAGATGAAATCTTGGTAAATCCTATATTCCACACAAAACAAAGAAAGAAATCACTACAGTTGAGTTAGTTGAGTAATACTTTAAAAGTATTGATACTTACAGGGCTTTTGCCATGATACTCCTCATTCTGAATGCGGGTATTTAGAATAGATCCAAAGATTTCCCAGAGTAAATGTAGAGTAGAATGTCAGAAAGCATCTAAGTGTTGTTTGAAGACCAGGCGTAGATATCTGATTGCACAATAATATAAAAAAATGCTAAATAAGCAAAATAGAATGCTTAATTTTTGGGATTTGTTTTTAAGTAATTGACACATGATAAATGTCTAGAGATTTTTGGGAGGTTGAAAAATGACATAAGACTGACTTGTATACCTGTCTCTCCAAAATAAATGAGCTTACTTGTTATTGACTGGTATAATACTTTAGTTTTCATGATTTATTTAAAAAATTTCAGAGATTTAAAATATACATATAAAAATAAACAATAAAAGTAAGTCTACTATAGTCACTTGAGGGCACTATTTAGTAAAAACTCTAGAAAAATGACTCTTATATGTCAGATATTTGGAAAAGCATGTTAGAAATTAATTGTCAGATATTCCGAGAAAATAATTAGAAATTGATATTTAGAGTTGGTCACATCGATTATGCTTTAATAACTAAAGAGTCTGATGGGATTCAAATAATTGAGAAGTCTTCATGATTCAGAGCTCTGAGGTATCATTGGAAGCCGGCAGTCATCTTCTGGCACTAGCCAGAGAGAATGTGGCCACCTTCTCTTGCATCGTGTGTGGACTGTGCATCTCGCTGCACAAACCATATCTTAGTCTGCTTTTAGACATTATTCACGTAACTCACATCCGTAATGCCAAGATCACTGATCTGTGCTCTTCACAGCTTTGTTGCTGATCTACTACTGATGTTTCTTAATAGTAGTGAACTTTGGGAACCACTCGAGACTTCGGGTTGTCATTTATAAAGGGTGCTAATAATTTTTGTCTTCATCATGCTTTTGACACTATGCACAAAAAAAGACAGAATTGGTAAAGAGAATACTTTAAATTTTTGTTATTACAAAAATTACAGAAAACACATCTGTTGCATTTATACTAAGTTTTGTCAAGTGATCCTATTTTCTTATGAAGTGATGGGGAAAATAAGACAACTCTGGAAGGTTTGAATTTAAGAAAAAAAAATGCTTACACTTTCCTTCATTTGAGCAGAAAATAATGTGCCCAGCTGGCACGGTGAATTGGAAAGAGGCAGGTGGGAAATTCTGACATTGCTGAAGGTTCAGACTGTGAGAAGTCAGGGGAGACAGGGCCTTCCATACATAGAGACAGAAGTATCCACTTCCTGTGAAGGAAAGACTCAGAAGTACATGGCTTATGGAGGGCTAAAGATGCAAGACTGGTGAAGAAAACTTCTATGTACTTAATTTCAGAATATTGTGATTGGATATAAGTGCACCTTGGGACATTTGTACAGAAGCTATTAGTTATTGGATCTATTATCTACACAGTTATAGGGTTTTTGCATTGAAATATTTAAATTATTTTGCAAACATCAAGTTTATCATAATACAATTGAGTATAATACAGTAGAACTTTTTACTACACAAGCATCCAATAGAAGAACAACCAAGGGAAAATAGAAAAGAAATAAGAGACAGGATGGAGAAGGGAAGATAATGCAAAGACATAAATGCAGGGAATAAAGAATTCTAGTTTTCACCTCTCTCAACCAACTGTAATACCACATACACTCACTTCATTTTTTAGGAGACATAAACAGGTCTGTGTCTATCACATAACAGGTTCATATTAATAATGAAGTGAGAAGACTTACTAATCGAATATCAGAGTTCTTTTTATCCACGTGGATCATGCAGGCTTGAGACATAGGTGGGCTCTTTCACGGTACAAGCCATCTTTCTGCCTTTCTCAGTCGACTCAAGCACTGAGCTCTTCCGCTCACTTCCCTCAGAGCTGTCTCTGTGGTACATGGGATTATCTGTGAAATCTGAGTGGGCTGGAGGAGTTGTGAAAAGTCCAGGATTTTTCCTCATGCCCCAGTCACTCACCCTTTTCCAAGGTCTCTGCTTCAGAGTGGGATTGTTTCGTTGATGAGAAGCTTCAAACTCTTCCATGTAAACGAGGAGTTCCCACAGAGCCCTAGAGACCTCTCAGGCATGGACAGACATTTTGCAGGCTCTTCAGCCTTCCTTTAGTCTGCTTGCCTCCGTTGGTCCTGGAGCTCCCCTCTGTCACAAGCCCTTCATCCTTTCTGCCATAGGAAATCTCCGAGCTTCTGTCCTTTTCCCCTGTTCTTTTTTTTTTTTTAACAGTTTAAACTTGTTTCGGCTTTTCAGAACACTCTAAATATTTTATAAATAACCTAGTACCCAGAATACAGTTTGTATCCTGCTTAAGAATCCTTGATGAATTAGCTTCCCTATACATGCAAACTGTTTCCAACATCATCTTACATCTCTGGCTTTAAGCGTTTGATCAGATCAGTAAATCACAGAGACTGACTGGTGCATTCTTTCTAGAAACCTTGTCAATCCCAGTGTAAAGGTATTGGAATATTTTTAGAATGCTATTATTTCTCATAGATCCTTGGCAGGTGCTACTATTGTTTTTCTTGAACAGAGAAGCAATTTCCCCCATGCCCTGGTGTTTGCAGTAAGACCTCAGAGAGAAAGTTTCTTACGTACCCTCACTGACCTGAGATTTTGACCTTGTCCATTCTTTGGTGACATTGTCAGAACTTCAGATATTTTGCTTTGAGAAACATTTGGTCACAACTTGTGAGTTTCTGTTTATTTCAGAGACCACACAGAAGCCTGTCTAGTAGGAATATTTATTTTAGAAACACCTCCTCAGGGACTATTTGTAATTTGACCGCTCACTGCCTCTCCTTCACTGCCCTCCCACCTTTCCCATCCAGCCCCTTCCTCCTGTCTCTTCCTCCCTTGTGTATATACTGGACCTTGGAGGTATGATAACTTATTAGCACTCTCTCACATTTCTCCCTGTGTTCTAGCATTGACTTGCTTCCTATTGATAGGTGGATGATGTTTCTATTGTGATGCAGAAATACAAACAGAACAGATAGAAATCTAGACTGTGGTAGAGCTTTTGGAAAGTCTATTTCCTTTTGTCTTTAAGAAATCCAAATCCTTCCCTCTGAAATGGGAAATACATTCATATTAAGGGAGAAAAAGGGATCAATTTTGCTGAAATAAGAGTCACCTTGCTATAATACCCTATGGAGATATTTTTTACTATTGTTATACAAAACTTACACATTCACAGATGACCAAGCCGTCTGACACATTATATTCCTGTTACAGGCTGATTTCTTTGAAGTATATGTAAATGAGACAGTGTGAGCCAAATTGTGTTTATTAAAGAAATATGTGTATTAAAGTGCAAAAGTAGTGGATTAGAAGAAGAAATGTAACAGATAAAGGCTGCCAAAGCCTTGAAGGTACATATAAGTATTACCCAATGAGACATATTACAAACTCTGAGTTAAAATGGCCAGACCTTTAAAATTTCTCCTCACCCAGTTAGCAGATGTGAGTTCCTAGCCCCAGGAGATCATAATACTGAGCACAGTATCCCTACAACTTAGGCGATTAAATGTGAGAGAAGAATTGAAAGCTAAATATTGACCATACTCTAAGGATGGAAAGAATGCCTTTGATTAAAGAAAAATCTAGCCAGAACATTCTGATACTAGCAGCGGCTGTATGTTCATATCTTGTGTAGCTGAGCATCCTGGAACATCACAGAATTCCAGCACTTATTGGCTTGGTGAAGTAGGATCATGACTTTAGGACCAGTTTGGGATAGACAACAAATTATTGGCCAACCTAGAATGGACTACATAGAGAGATTCTGTCTCATAAATAACAACAGAAGGGCTGGAGAGATGGCTCAGTGGTTAAGAGCACTGGTTGCTCTTCCAAAGGTCCTGAGTTCAATTCCCAGCAACCACATGGTGGCTCACAACCATCTGAAATGAGATATGATGCCCTCTTCTGGCCTGCAGGTAGACACACAGACAGAATATTGTATACATAATAAATAAATAATAAAAAATAACAACAGAAATGGAATTGAAAAGCCCTATTCAAAGATTTTTCACACACCCCCATCTAAGTTTAGCCCCTGCCTTTCACAGATCAACTGACAACTGACTTTATTATTCTATGATACATGCAAAGATCATAGGTTTCCTCCAAATGGGAATCACAGGAACATACACATATAGAGCTGTACCATAAATCTGGTATTAAACAAATGATAAAAACTTAATGTTGTTCTTAATTTCACTTTTATTGAGCTTGTTCTTAACAATTTCATATAGTTATAATATGAATTCTGATTATTATAACACACTCCCTATCTGCCTCCAACCTGCATTGCTCGCCTATCCAAGGGAATTCTATCTCAATGAAATTCTTAGACCAGAGGATTGGGGCATGCAGAGATATTCCTTCTAAGATCAAGGTTACCTCTTGCCCTTCCTATCACCAAGAAAGAAGTGCAACATTCAGTGAGCCTATTAGGATTCTGGCAACAGCACATTCCTTGCTTGGATGTGTTACTCTGGCCCATAGACCAAGTGACTCAAAAAGTTGCTAGCTTTGATTTGGGCCTGAAACAGAAGTCTTTTTAACAGGCCCATGCTCCTATGCAGGTAGTTATACTGCTCGGACCACATATCCAGTAGACTCGATGGCACTTGAGGTTTCAGTGGCAGATAGGGATGCTCTTCAGAGTCTTTGGCAGGCATCCGTAGCTGAATCACAAAAGAGACCTTTGGGATTTTGGAGCAAGGGAACACAATCCCTTGTAGGTAACTATTTTACCTTTGTAGATAACTGTTGGCCTGCTTTAGGCCTTAGTGGAAACTGAATTTTGGCACTGGACCACCAAGTTACCATGCTATCTGACCTGTTCATCATGAGCTGTATGTCATCTAATCCACCAAATCATAAAACAGAAAGTGCAGAGCATAAATCCATTATCAAATGGAAGTGTTATATCCAAGATTGGTCCCAAGCAAGTCCTTGTTCTGTCTACTTGTTCTGTGGACAGTCAGTCTCTTTCCCCAGTCATCCTATCATTGCCCAAATGGCTCGTGAACAAGATTGCCACGGTGGCAGAGATGGGGATTATGCATGGTTTCAATAACATAAACTTCCACTCAGCAAAGCTGACCTGGCTACAGTTGCCAGTGCCATATCTGACAACAGCAGAGACCAACAGAGAGCCCAGGTACAGCACCATTTCTGGGTGATTAGTCATTGACCTAGTAGCATGCTGACAACATTGCACTGCTTCCTCCACGAAGAGGACAATGCTTTCTCCTTTCTGGAGTAGATGCTTACTCTCGTTATGAAT